TTTTTATTTGTTTCTGTTTTTCCATGTCTTGTGGATTAATTTTTTCCCGGAATTTCCTTGGAATAAATGTTTCCTCCATTTCTATGATGGTTTTGTAAATGCTAGTTTTCTTTGATTAAGTAGGTTGTCCCACATCTGGAGATTCTGTCTTTTCATTTTGAATACTTCCTCTTGGATGTGCAACTTTTCTATACATACTACGTATCCACACTGAGTTTTAAAATATTCCACCAATGCTTCTGTGTTGCAGTTGTGTTCCTTGGTTTGTTGGGATGTGAATTTTAGAAGTATAGTGTCAATTTTTTTGCTTTAATTTCTGTATTTCTTCCTCCAGAAGTTCCTGTTTTCTGTTGGTAATTTTGTATAACTCAAGGAGTTCTTCCATGGTTTTCTTTTCTGTTTGTGGTATTCTTTCATTGTAGTTATATACAAGGAAGAGGTTATATAGTTGTTCCAACGAGAGAAAAGTGTATATTTTAAAAAGAAGAGAGAAACCGCAAGTGTTTTTGGTTATAATGTGGATAAAAAGAAAAAAGAGAGGTGGGGGAGCCTCTTACTCAAAGTGAAATTTGTAAAGAAATCAACATTTATTCAAATGACAAACTATTTTTACAATATACAAATTATACAAAATACAATAAAGACTTTGCACAACGTTTCTCTTGTGTGTCTAAAACTATCAAGTCAGGTTAGTAGTTTTTCAAAATACAAATCTGCTTTCTCTTAGAAAACAACAGTTCATGCAAAGCAAATGTTTTAACAATAAAGGAATTTTAACAACTTTTTTTAGTGCAACTGTTCATATAAATCAATTTTTTAGCAGCAAAAGAAAAGTTCACAATTCAAAATGTTGATAGTTCAAATGTTGAAAATTGAAGAGGATGAGAAAGGGTTCACCTACCTCTGGTAAATTTGGTTCTCTGGGTCCTTTAGACAAAATATTCAAGGTTTTGGAATTGGCATTTTATATTAGATAAACTCTTGAAGGTTTAAAAAAGATATTTTTAGTAAAGAGAATTCTCATTTTTACGGGTTAATCTTTTTTCTTTTTCAGTCACAAGAGCAACAGTAGTAGTAGTAGTAGCCAGAAAAGAAAAAAATGTAGAAACAGTAAAAAAGATATGTTCCATTTATGGAGATGGTGCTATAACTGAAAATATTGCTTGTAAGTTCTTTACTAGGTTTAAAAGTGGAAAATTTTGATGCGAAATACAGCAGTTAATGATGATCAAATTAAAATGATGATTAATGATAATTCAGGTCCCATATGAGTTTACCTCTTATTATTTTATATAATTTATGTAACTTAGATTCTTTGCATTAATATCTGAGGGTTTCTGCTGAACCAAACTTATCAGATTACTAATATTCAATAGGTCAGCCCTTCTTTCTTCCCTGTTCCTCTCCACTTCCTCTTTGACCACCACATTACCTCCTGAGTCCCCTTAAAATTTACTCCCTCTCTCCTCCAAAAATTCTCCCCACTTCTGACCATCTCTTATTACACTACTTCCAGTCTCTCCTTGCTAACTCTCACCTTTGGTTTTTTTTTCTTTTCTTTCCCTCTCTTTCTGTTTTTCCCTTTTTAGCCATTCCTATTTCAATAATCTATCACCATTGACAGTTTGAAGAATCCTGTGAATTTAAAATTTAAAAATCACTGGTGAAAATGATCATTAACTAATGGTGTCTTAATTCCAATTGTATGAACTATTTAGCTCTGTTTAGAAAATAAACATTGACCACTTTTTGGTGAGTCAGTTTTAACATTACTTAATGTTTAAAATTTCATATTATGTTAATAGGATTTACTATATTACTATATATATATATATATATATATATATATATATATATATATATATATATATATATATATATATATATATATATATATATACATACTGCATGTAACAACAAAATTTTCCAATTATTAGATTAAGATTTGAACCATTGTATCTTAGAAATCATTAAAGATATTTTACTGGAATTCTCTGAGGTTGGTTTTTGGACTCTACTTTGAACAATAAGAATGTATTTAGCTCTAAGTTGAAATGATGATATTTTTGCTGTTTTGTCTTCCTGATCCAGTTTTCCTTTCTACTGTTCCCAATTTTTTTAAAATTTATTTACTGTTCTGTTGATGATTCTTGAATGAGCTTTAAAGAGTATGAATGTTGGTACCATTACTAAAGGCCTGAATGATCTTTTTCCTCTCACCATTGCTCATTTGGAAGATATTATGGCTGGCACAAAATGATTTTAACTTGTTCTCTTTCTAGTTGAATAACTCCAAGTGTTTTTCTGTGATTCTTATGACAAATGGTGTCAAGATAGTTAAGTGTCTTATCTGAAAACCTGAGAAAAGAAACTCAATTAGTTTTGTGGATTTTAGATATCAAACATTTTGTCAGATGGACACTTATCCCATGTTGTTACATGATCTGGACAATTTTGCAGCTACACCTGATTGATATATATATATATATATATATATATATATATATATATATAGAGAGAGAGAGAGAGAGAGAGAGAGAGAGAAAAAGTTGGATGAGTCTAATGATGGTTACAAAGGTATGCAGCTCAGAAAACTCACTCTAATCATTCTGATAAGAAAAGAACTCTCAAATTTGTTGGTGAGGGACACAAAATCAAGATAGAGACCTACATCAAGTGCTTTGAGGAAGTAGTGCTGCCCTGGATCAAGAGGATGGCTGCTGGAAGACCCTTTGTCTATCAACAGGACTCTGCATCATGCCACACAATCAAGTGAACCCAGTCATGGCTGTCAGACAATTTCTGCAATCACATCACCCCCTTACATCTGGCCACCTAACTCCCTAGACTGCTACCCGCTTGATTATTATTATGTGTGAGACACCAACAAAACTCCCTGTAACAGCAAAGATGAACTGAAAGCAAGGATTACGGCAGCATTCACCAACTTAAACAAGGAGACCATCCAGAAGATTTGCAGGAGATTCCAAAGTCATCTGGAGGCCATGGTTGAAGCCAATGGCGATTTTATTGAATAAATTTAATAATTTTATTGAATAATTTGTATTTCAAGATATTTTTGTGTAATATCTGTAAAAATGAGATGTGCATGTTATTTACATTTTTGCGTAATTTAGATGACAAGTTATCTAATAATAATACAACTGATAAAAAATGCAAAAATTACACAAATTTTATATGTTTTTTCAGGTTATCAGAAGTTCTGCCAAAAAGCACTCAATAGAAAACTAGAGCTATAATATTCAATAAGTTAAGAAAAGTTGAGTGACTTATCTGCTTAGCTGACTCAAGAGTTTTGCATCAAAACTCTCATCAGGGGAGACATTTGATAAATTTAGACAGATAGATAGATAGATAGATAGATAGATAGATACCATTTTCTAATATATAAAAATTAGTTCTTCATATTTATTCATATGCATGTATCTATATCTACACATGCAGTGTGTAATGTATTACTAACAAAGAAATATTTTCTTTGTTAGTAATACATTACAGAGAAACAAATTTTCCTTTGCCTAATATAATCCATTAGTCAGTCAATAAAAAAAGCTATTTGATATATGTTGTAACCTAGAAAGAGTTACTGAATGAGGAATAACCAAAACAGAGGTTGGAAATGAAATGGTAATCTTTATAACATCAACAAAGTGGTATGATGCAGATAAACCACTGCTAGTGGTGGACTACTTAGACAGTGTATTACCCCCACTTACAATAGTGTCCAACATATCTATCAGTATTGGGACATACCCATTAGTGTTCATAGGTATGCTATATAACAATATGTATGGCAACAGAAATGGGTGATAAGTAAAGGTTTTAGAGAGAGAAAAAATAATTTCTTTAAAATTTGGTATTAATTAAACATATTGGTATGTGTATATTGAAACAAAAGCTAAGTAATTAAAGAAAGGAGTAAAAAAAGAGATTGAATTTTGAAATAAAGATAAAAGTAAAGAAAAATGGAAAGAAATTGAAGGATGAGATTTCACAATATTGATTGTTCTGTCATTTTATTGTGGAATGTTAATTCATTGTGCAATTGTTTGTATAAGAGTCTCACAGTTTGACTGGATTAGGTATTCATTGTCTACTGCAAAAAACATGACCTTTCATGTAAACAATCTGATGCTGCTTGTATTCTGTCATTATTTGAGTATATATGAAAATGTGTTAATGTCTCTAAAAGCTGCTAACTAAAGAAGGAAAGAGGTAAAAAATTAACCTGTGTATCTTCTATGTTACTGAGTGTGTGAATCAGAAACATTTACATCTAAAAAGAAAATGTTTTCTTTCATTTATATTTTTTCATACCAATTTATATGTAATCAGAAAAGAGATCTAAATATTTTCCCATGTTAAGCACTATTTAGATGTGATGTTTGGGAGACATGCATAAAACAGATACTAAGATCTAATTATAGGGCTGTTGCAAGCTTAGTTATAATGGCATACCAAAAACACAAACATCTGAGTTGGTTAGATTAGCAGAAGTAAAATCTACAAATGTCTTATACTGTTGTTGCTTCTTGTAGCATGAAAACTAGTGACAATTTTCTGTTATGTTTTTTTTTTCTGAATATACTGAGAAATCCTTCTCATCAATTTAAATAGAAAAAAAAACATACTTTAGCTGAATCATCTGAGAAAACTTTTCAATGCAATATACTTTTTTTTTGTTTTCTGTCAACTACATCACATTCTGTATATATCTATCTTATTCTTTCTCACTTTGGCAAATATAAAAACACTCTCTTAATATTTTTTCTTACAAAATATTTTCCTCTTTTTATCTCTATATATTTGCCTATCTTTTACTACTTGTCTTTCCCAAATTGCATCTTTTTCACTTTCATTCTCTTTCACTCTCTAGATATATATTTCTATAGATATATTCATGTTTCTATTTGTATATTTAACTTTCTGTTTCCTTTTCTATCACACTGAACCAGACAAAGTGACAGACATATGAAGACATGGTTTACCATTTTCGTTTTCTTCATGTTTTTCCCAATTTCTTTTTTTCTCTCTCTTTTCTTTCTCATTTCATAAATCTGCCTGTTTGTCACTTTTTCTGCTCCTTCGTATCACTGTGCACATCAATCAATATGTTTGTCTACTTGTATCTTAACCTCTGTTCTCTGAGTCAATGATTACTTACCATATATATATATATATATATATATTTTATTATATATATATATTTTTGGCAAAAATTCTCTTTTAAGCATGTCTGATTGAATAAATTACAAACATTATGTCTGATTATTTTTAACAAAATCCATTCATGCTCACAAATAACCTTCCATGTATTGATGTTAAAGGATGAGAGAAATATGCTATAGCTGTTTAAATTTCTTTTATTTTCATTTCCCATGTACTTTCAATCTTTTTCCAAGATCATCTTCAGTGGTGCAAGTAATACAAAACTATATGTTGTTCTTTAATATAAGTATTTATACACAATTGTGCATTGTTATCCATTACCGTAATTTTTTCATTATGCTTTTAAATGCAAAATGGTTGACAATTTGCTGCGTGTTCATTAGAACCTGAAAAATTACCCATTATGGAATTTTTTCTCTCTAGGTTATAATGTCATTGTCAAAATGTTCAATTAAAGCATTAATTAACTGAGCACAAAAATTAATTCCTCCACAAATTCATTTTCTACAATGAACTAAAAAATATTATCAGACTCTCATTAATAATGACTTCCCAAACCACATTGTAGATGAACATATAAGACGATATATAAAAAACCTCAACTTCGTGAAATAGAATATACAGACGATCAAAGGACACTAAATATATCAAATTTTATAATTTTGTAACCAGATGCTTTTTTTTAAAACAGGATGAAAAAATTTTATTTATGCTAACATATCTTCCAAGGATTCTAATAAAAAAAATAAAATTAATCATATATTATAAAAAATACAATACATCAAATTTAATTATTCACAATAATTCCTCCCCACTAACCGATGTATTATGTACAACCAAAATTATATACCAATTTAAATGCCCCTTGAGAGAATGTATCTCTGAAAAAAAACAAAAAACAAATATATATGTTGAGTATAAGACAAATACATAAACAAGAAGGCTTACATTACACATGTCTGAGCATTTGTCCATTGCAAAACATCTACAACATTCCTGTCAGCATTCACAATATAAAAAATTACACAACTATCCTACACCATGAAAACAACAAATCTAGATTACAAATACTAGAAGCAATTTATATTAAAAAATTAAAGCCAGTACAGAACAGAATCAACTATGAATACTGCAGTAATGTTCTGAAATGCCTGTAAAGGAACAGTTTTTTCACACTTTAATGTGTATGTGACCATGACATTATAACCTAGAGAGAAAAAATTACGGTAATGGATAACAACTCACAATTTTGTATAAATACTTTGTATAAGCAGCTATAGCACATTTCTCTCATCTTTTAACATCAATACATGGAAGGTTATGTTCCTTTTGTCCTTTATGATTTTTTAAAAACAGAACTAATGTGACATATATATATATATATATATATATATATATATATATATATATATATATCCACTCTGCTTTTTATATCATTCTCTTTTTATAGGTGTCAATAATTTTGTTTCTTACTATTTTCCTTTCTTTGTTTTTCTCACTGTCCTCCAATTTTAGATGATTATTTTTTTCATTCTCTTTAAAGTAAACACTTCTTTCTTTTCTATCATAGCCTTTGATCTTTTTATTTTCTTTGGAATTCTATCTCTCTGATGTAATGGAATAACCTGTCCCCGCCCATGAGTGACTACACTATAGGTTGTAACTACCTATAAGCATCTGTAAGTCAATGGACTACAGAGACTAGCTGGGATCTGTTGAGTACGGCTCAGACTTACACAAGAACTACTGACCTTCCAATAGTAGCACTCACTACTGGATTGACTTGCAATGACCTGGTGCATAACTGTTATTGTACTGTTTTTTTTACAATAAACTTTTACTTATTTATCCACCTTGTTTTTCAAGTGTATATTCCTATTAGCACGGAATATAACATTCTCTTACTTGTTTTATCTTCTATGTATATATGTATCTATACATTCCTCTTCTTTTTATATATTTTGCTTTTTTTTTCAACATTTTTTCAGTTTCTATCACTCTCTCATTCAGTTTCCTTTTCTTTTACTCATTCTATATTTATTTCTTTTAATCGGTTTTATCTGAATATTCATACAAATGACATATAGCAAAAAACTGGTTCTAATGGACTAAAGGTTACAATTACTGAAGCTCCCATAGCATTTCACTTTTGAGGATGCCACAGTGACCAGATATTAACATTGGCATTCTCCCTGTATGAGAGAATTCCATTTATTTTCTGTTTTCTTTCATCACTCAGGTACATTAATGCACATATTTTTGTTATTTCTACATTTTTGTATACAGCCTGCATCTTCCCATATTTTCCTTTTTTCTCATTCTATATTTTTGTATCACCATCCAACTCTTTCCTTAGTCATTTTCTATATTTTTGTGTTTAGACATCTCTTTTTCACACTTTCATTCAAGTCTTTCTGTATTTTTGGATGTAGTCTTCTCCCTCCCAATCATTCCTTTGCCATTACCGTATTTTTCTATTTTAACACCTTCACACTCTTTCCTGTTTCCAGATTTTTGTATTCATACCTGTCCATCTCACACTTTCCCTTATCACTTTCTTCATTTTTGTATTTATATCTCTCCTTTCCACTCTTTCCTTTATCCATATTTTTGTATTTATACCTTTCTTTTCAATCTTTTCTTTGTAGTATTCTACATTTTTGTATATATACCTCTCCTTCCAATGCTTTCTTTTAACTCTTTCTAAATTTTTGTATTTACACCTCTACTTCCCAAGCTTACCTTTGTATCTTTCTACATTTTCATATTTATACCACTCCTTCCCACTCTTTCCTTTAACTGTTTCTACATTTTTGTATTTGTACCCCTCCTTCCAACTCTTTTCTTTATCCCTTTCTACATTTTTGTAATTATACTGTCCTTTCCTACTCTTTCCTTTATTTCTTGCAACATTTTTGAATATAGACCTTTCCTTCTTACTCTTTCCTTTATCCTTTTCTACAGTTTTGTATTTATACCACTCCTTCCCACTCTTTTATTTTCTCTTTCTACATTTTTGTATTTAGACCTCTCCTTCCCTTTCTTTTGTTAATTGCTTTCCTAGATTTTTGTATTTATACACCTCATACCTTTTCTCTTGCTTATCTCTTTCAAAATTTTTTTTTATTTAGACCACTGCTACCTACACTTTCCTTTATCTATATCTACATTTTTTATTTAGATCTTTCCTTCTTCCCACTCTATCCTATGTCTCTTTCTACTTTTTTGTATTTAGACCTCTCCTTCCCACTTTTTCCTTTAACTCTTTCTTCATTTTTGTATTTACATCTCCCCATTTCAATCTTTCTTTGTCTCTTTCTACATTTTTTTTTATTTAGGCCACTCCTTTGCACTCTTTCCTATGTTTTTTCTACATTGTTGTATTTAGATGTTGCCTACCCACTCTTTTGATTGTCCTTTTCTCATTTTCAATTTAGTCCTCTCCATCTCATTCTTTTGTTTTTCTCTTTCTACATTTTTGTTATTTATACCTCACCTTCTTGCTTTTTCTTTATTTTTTTGTACATTTTTGCATTTAGATCTTTCCTTCCCATTATTTCCTATGTCTCTTTCTACTTTTATGTATTTAGACATCTCCTTCTCACTCTTTCCTTTTCTCTTTCTACATTTTTAAACCTCTCCTTCTCACTCTTTCTTATGTCAGTTTCTACATATTTAGACCTCTCCTTCCAACTCTTTCCTTTTCTCTTTCTACATTTTTTAGATCTCTCCTTGCAAGTCTTTCCTTTTTCTCTTTCTACATTTTTGTATTTAGACTGCAAATTCTCATTCTTTCCTTTCTTTCTTCACATTTTTTATTTAGCCCATGCCTTCCCTCTCTTTCATTTGTTTCTTTCTATATTTTTATATTTTCACTTCTCCTCCACTTCTTTCCTTTGTCTCTTTCTATATCTTTTTTATTTAGATCTCGGCTACCCACTCTTTTGTTTGTCCCTTTTTTATATTTTTGTATTATGTATCTACTTCCTACATTTTTCTTTTTTTCTTTCTTCATCTTTGTATTTTATCCTCTCCTTTCCACTCTTTCTTTTGTCTCTTTCTATATTTCTGACATATTCTTCAATGTTATTCATTTTCTTTTTATTTGCTTCTATGTTTCTCTTTACATTTTTTCCCTCAATTCTAAAAATTATACACTTTCCCTCTCATTTCCAGTTTCACACTTTTTCTCTTTTCATTTTATTTCTTGTATTGCTTATCTCCAAAATATTCAATGTCTATTTTTTTTTATCTTGTGAAAGGTATTTGGAAGAAACTATTGCAAAGATTATAACAATTTTACAATTGTAATGGATAATGGCTCAGAGTAAGAAATCGGAGAACTGAGTTTGAATTACAATAATGTTCATTACATTCACTCCCAGTCAGATATGCTTAGGGGAGTTATGAATCCATCTCTTCTCCTCTAAGCTATGGGTTAAATAGCAGGACAGACTGGACTTTATAGCCTTGATTGTCAACCAGTCTTCTACAGAAAGAAACAGCAACTGACTGCAGTAAATCTTCTGCCTAGTCAGTCATGAATCAAAAGAGATAAAATCACCAAATTATGTATCATTTATGGCACTTGCCTTAGTTTGAATATGTCACAGCAGTTGAATATGATATATGAATATATATAATGATATCCATGGCAACTCTCATGGTTGTTACACTTTTAGTTACAGCAGCAATTTACACAAATTCAAATAAATAAAAAACTGAAAATAATCATAGGAAACAAAAAAACAAAAAATATTAATCAATGGAATAAATTTGAACCAGGCATGAACTAATGCAAATAATTATATTTTTTTACATTGTGAGAATTCTTGAAAATAACATTTAATAATAAAAGACATTCCTGCAATAAAATCCAAAAGAATAAGGCTGTCTTTCATTTTTTTCTTCTTCATGTTCCTGCTTTTTTTCTGCTTTACTTTACACTAATTTTTTTCTCACTACTTTGGTTCTTACTTAACATATTTTCATCCTTCTCTCTTTCTCAACTTTTCTTTCTATTTTAATCTCTATTCCATTATGATATATAGCACTCATCATTTGGAGAAATAACTATATTTGCTCATTAAATAATCAAATAATAATGTTTATTGAGTAGTTTCTTAAACTAAAGCACTTAGATATAGTTTTTCTGTTGTTAAAATAAATGGAAATCCTCATCCAGCCTGTCCTTTTTTCGTAGTAATAATGAATGCAATCACTGAAATTTTAGATGTCAATACTAAATAAAAAAGGCTGGTTTAATTACTATTAATTATTTCTGACAAATTATTATGCATTAACTTATTAAAATCAGTGATGTAACAAGTAATATTGATTACGTTTGATTATGTTATCAATGTGGAGGCACAATGGAGTAATGGATAGTGACTTGGATTGAGGAATCGGAGAACTGAGTTCAAATTCTAGTCAAATCCGTTACATTCACTTACATGCTAATACCCTTGGGAAAAGTATGAATCCTCTTCTTCTTACACCAGCTATGGGTAAATAACAAGATAGACCAGGTTCTGTAGCCTTGGATGGCAACTGGTGTACCACAGACAGAAATGGCAACCTACTGTGGGAAAAAAAATCTGCCTCATCAGTCATCTATCAAATGATACATGATCACCTAAGTGTGTATCACATATGGCACATAACTGACTGATGTAATCTATATAGGTGGTAGAAATCCCACTTCCCCCAGTACATTTATTTTTTTATTATGAACTACTTAAATAATGAATAGTATTCAGCATTTAATAGTTCATACAGAATAGTTGAATACAGAAAGTCCCTTTACAACTGAAATGACTTTAATCAATACAAAAAAACTTTTAGTTTCAGATCATTCTCTTCTTATTAAATGAGTTTTCAAATTCAATTTTAAGTCTCATTCTGTTTACATCTATCATTAATAATTCTCTCTTTTTACACTTTATTTACATTTTGTATTTCTATCCATCAGATTTTTGTATTCTTAATTTCCTTTTATTTATTTATCCTTTGTTTCATGTTTGCTTATTACTACATATATGGATTCTTATAAGCATTAAAATTACTCTGATGTTAAAATGGTGTGAATAAATATTGAAATATTAACCAAATCTATCACACTTTCTTCTTTAATACTCTTTTTGCTTGTCTTTGATAATCAAATGTTCATTACCACAAAACTTGTATTCAATACCTCTCTTTCTATGATTACTGTGCATAATTTGAAATTTTATGCTGTTTAAGAAGTTACTAGAATCTTTTCACAGCTTGCAAATATCTAAGAGGAAAATGAAGAAAATATAGAAGAAAAAGCAGAAAAAGAAATTATAAAGAAAAGAAAATTACAAGGAAGAAATAAAAAGAAAAAAATGAAAGAGTGAAAGTATATATCATTGACAACAAAAAAGATATGAAAGGTTATTTTATTCTTTGTTTCTACTTAATTAAGAATAAGTAAGAAGTAGTGTATTGAAAACTAATGTATTTTCCTTAATAGTCTATGTGCAAGAGATATAATTGATTAACAAATTTACAACCTGTGCATAGAAACTTGCAATTGCAAAACCTTAATAGATTAATAAAAAAAGTAAATAGCTTTAATAACTGGAAGTATTATAGAATCATCAGCAAAGGATTTAAATTTGTGTTCAGTACAAAACGTTTTAAAATAAAATTAACATAATCAATTAAAATAATAAGAATGCTTTATAAAAGCAATTAATTTTTCCCAAAATGAATCATCACTAAAGTATGACTTTCTCTAAGATGTGGTCATTTCCCATACAGAAATGACAAGCAAATCAGTCATTGAAGTCAATATTTGAGATTTTGCTTCTCACCTGGTGCTTTACTAATAAATATCTACTCTCCTGAAGATGTTCAAATAAATTGTTCCTCCTTCTTGTTAGAACTCTTTAAAATTCTGAAGTGATGCTTTTTAGAAAATGTCTTCCAACACAATGAAATAATTCTTATAACTGTTGGTAAACAATTAGAGGAAATTTAATATTTTAATGTTTATTCAAATCATTTCCTGAACAATATGTATGGCTTTGAAGATGAAAATTTGAAATTGATAGTTTATAGAGATAAATTATTTTTGTTGGTATAAAAAAGATTCTAAAAAATATTAAAAATGAAATTAATAAGGAGAAAGAAAAGAGAAGAGATGTGAGAAAAAAAAAAAGAAGAGATGAGAGAAAGAAAGCAAAAGAAGAAGATTTCTCAAAATTAAAAAGAAAAATGTATGAAAGAGAGTTCATAAGAAAAATGGATAAAGAAGAAATCTGGTGTAAAAGAATAAAATAAAAAGGAAATGAATCCAGGAATAAAGAAAAATGTGGTAAGCAAGGAGGATATAGGAAAAGAGTTTGTGTATAACTTTATAAACTAAACCTCCTTGTAGCTGTTGAACTAACTTAAATTAAGATTAAGTATTTTAATACATTCTAAGTCTGTAAAACAACCTTTGAAATAATGAAGAAAGGTGAGACAGTATTTTAATCACTTTTGCAGCAAAATATTAAAAAAAAATAATCTAATTCAGGCCATTCAAACCTTATTTTAAGTTTTATTTTTTGTCCCATTCTTTTATTTATATGGAGTTTATACTTTAATTCCTGAATCAATTACCAAAGCACAAACCAAATTTTATGGTGAGAAATAAAAAAGTAAATGAATAAAAACAATCTAAATAAAAAAGTAAAAACAAGAACAAACTAAAAAAATGACTATAATTAATTTCTTATTCTATAATTAAACATTGTTTATTCTATATAGTATCACTGAATATTTTGCAGTTTACTTTACAGATGATTAATTGACAAAAACCATTGAACTTGTAAATGGATTTTATGGTATTTTGATGAAATAAGCTGAATTTGTTCATTTTAATCAAATTTAACCTAAGTATAAATTTATATAAACATTTAAAAGTTTTATCAGTCTTGAGGGTTAGTATCAGTTAAAGGCTGATATTTTCTTTGTTCTTTCTTTCTTGGTCCTTTTAGTGATTAAGTATTGTTGGAATTTAATTTGAGAACAATATTTTACAAGTTCACATTCTCGTTATTTTTTTCTATCCTCATTCCAACCTCTTTTTACTTTCAAAACTGGCTCCCAAAGCCTTGATTCTTATCAGAGATAAGAATACATTTTCTGACTAACGAGAGAGCTGAAAAATATAAAAAGGAATTCCACCACCATTATTCTTTCCATGGTGCCATAAAGTCTGGGAAAAACCTCACAGCTTGTTCACTCCAACCTGTTTTCATTACCTTCAAAACCGGCTCCCAGTGCCCTGATTCTTGTCAGAGATAAGAATATATTTTCTGACCAATGAAGGGGCCAGGAAATTTGCTCAACAATTTTGGAGGGAAAAGTCCCCAATTCTTTGGAGCCGACCAAATCACCATAAATTTGGAGAATCTTTGCCTATTTGGCAGTGAGACTTCAGTCCACCATCTGTGAGGTCAATTATAGGGAGCTCCAGTCAACTTCAGAACCACTTTCAACCAAAGAAGAACTACCTACGAAAGGGTTGTCGAGAAGGAACGTTGGTCCACAATTCAAGACCAATTCAAAGCTGCATCCCTTCACCACTGGACTTCTGTTGTTGACCTACAAACTCACTCAACTGCAAGATTCCTATATCTACCAACATTTTCCTACTCTACAAGAACTGTGAGTGTTTCTAAACCTTAAAAAAATTCTACTTGCTTAAAGAACTTTTTAGGCACTCAGAGAAATATTTTGAGCAAGCCTTTTTTCAGTTATGAACATTTTCTCTTCCCTTAAAGGACATTTTCTCTTTTCCCTTTCTTTCACTCTTAATTGTCTTTATCCATTTACCATTTTTTTCTGTATATGTAAATAAACACTTTCTTCTTTTATTGTTACACACTGAGCAGGAGTGTTTTCTTTATTTGTACGTGCTATAAAAGAGAGAGTTTGTCTGCTCTAATCGTGTTGTTTTTTACTCACGTATTGTCACAATTTTTTAACCTCAACCCTTAGATGCGGGAAAGCTGGGACAGATTTCCCAGCAGTATTTTGCCTCTGACAAGAAAGCATTCTGTATATACAGGAATCCAAAAATGGATGTAATCAGTATAAAGTTCAAGTATTTCTCAAACAATCTTTTTTCTTATTTTATTTCCTTTCTCTTTTCCTTAAGATTTTTTCAACTGCCTACTTTTATTTTTATATTAATATAAACTATTATATTTTCATCTTTTATTTTCTTCCATATTTTTCCATTTTTTTTCTCAAATATTTCCTACTTCTTCAGTCATTCTTTCTCTTCTGTCATTCACTCACTTAAGACATCTACATTTTTCCATTTTCTACCCTTTCTTTTCTTTCTATTTTTCTCTTCAGTTCTCTTCTGTTCAAATCTTATACATGCTATTTACAAGCTTTTGTAAGCTTTCTTCCTATTTAAAATAATGAACCTTGCTCTCTTCACCATGAAGAAATAGTCACTGAACTTTGAAAATTGTTTCTTTTGGTGAAATATGAATCATTCTTTATATAAATAGAGTTCAACACATGAGAAAGGAACAGATGGTGACCATAAAGATCTTTAGTAATCATATATAGCTGGTTGATTTATGAATTAAAAACATTCTAAGCATTTTAGAAATTTTTGTAGATGAAAAGAGTCTTATTTCAATAAGGATACATTTTTCTTTACTAATAAATCTTTAATTTTATTTCTAATGTAACCCTAAAGAAAATATGTAATTCTCATATAGAGATTTTTAAATAACAGTTACGAGTATTTGGTTCAATGGAGGAATATTGAGCTTGAGTTTGTTAGACAAAAATATAAACTAGACTTCTATAATATATGAATATATGAAGATAAGATATAATGTCTTATGAACTGAATTAGTAATGTTTAATTTAAATTAAACTCACAGAATAAAAATGGAAATTTAATTTGCATCCTCATCAAATAGCCCTTCTTTTTAGTAATCAGAATAACATTTCAAGGTAGAAAGGTATAGCAAAATTTATATGTGGC